ATTTGAAACTGCCAAGTTTCATCTGGTGTGTCACATCTGCATATTTCGCATGATTTTCATGCGTACTCATAAATCAGCCCAGGTTTGCTGAAAAGGTTCATAAATGTTAGCAAACCTTCTGATGAACCTTGTCTGACATTTGAGTTTGTAACAAAATACAACATTGGGGAGCTTTGCATGGTTTAACATTTCATACATATCTAGTGCTAATGCATTCTTCTAGCACAGACTAGAAACATATTTGACCTGCCAGTCTATGATGAGGTTCATCTAGTCTAGTTCAAGGTCTGGAGTGCTCTGCTCTTCTCCCCAAAGGACTGGACAAAAAATAACCTGTGGTGAAAGTTCCCCTGAAGCCCAGAAACTCGTCACTGACTGTTCACCAGGGAATGTTTATTCATTTTGTTTTCAAAACTTCCCCCAGCAGTATGAACCAAAGCTTGCTGTTCTTTTTTCTTTATTTCTTTCTTTAGTGTTAGGAAATATGTTTCCCATAAAAGGTATTTTCTGGCAGCAGAAATACTACTGGAGCTGAATTACAGTATTATTCCCTTGTATCTAAGTAGTTAATATTAGTGCACTTCTGGTTTTTAACAATATCCTTGCAGCTCCAAACAGAGGGGTGTCATTTAAATTATATTTGTCCAGAGAAAATGGAGTAAATCAAATAAATTAAGGGGACATGTTTCAGCTAACCAAATGTTTTCAGACTTACGAAAGGAATATGAACATATCACATTTGAAAATTTAGAATGAATCCTTTTTTTTCTGAACTATTCAAATGCAAAAGAATCCAAATTGTTTTAAAGACTGAAAAATATATTGTTTTCATGCTCACATAATTTAGACATGGTTCTGCTGATTTTCTGCAGTTTTTCCCAAATGTTTCACCTTTGTGCTGAGCAGAAGTAGGATATGCTCCAGTTCAAAAGGAAAATCTTTGAAAAAGTTATAAGTCTTTGAACATAAGATTTAAAATGGGCTTGCAATGGTGAGGTATGAGTATGTGATGTTATACAATTTGAATTGTGTTGAGGTGAACAACTTGATGTGGATTGAAGTATAAAATCAGTATGAAATGCGATTCTGAATGTCTTTATCAGAATTAATAGGCCTCATAATGACCATGGGGAGATGAAATTAGAGGTCTGGAAACAACTATTGTTAACTGATGAATCATTCAAGTAGGAGAGAGATTTGGTTGTAGTGTGATCCAAGGAACAGTATTGCTGACTGCTGAGGATTCAATTTGGAGCTGTAATTGGTATATGTGTTCTGATTGGTTAATATCTTTCCAAACCTCAATATTGTTATACTGTGCTGCAGTGTACAGTGGGATCTTCTGACTTATCACATGACTTCAGCCAGTCATGGAGTATGGATATTTTTCTTGTATGTTGCACTAAAAAATGTTCATTTAAGAGAAAGGATGAGTATTCTAAGGCCAGGCAAGCACATTACATTTCTACATTTCTCAACATCGCCCACTGAAAGTCAGAGCTTTTAGGAATATTAATGTATAATGATAAGTAGCATCAAGGTAGAGTAGTTGTGAAGATGGTAAAAATAGTTTCCAGTCAGATAAGAGCTTTTATCTCAAACCTCTCTCTGGCTTAAACAAAGGATTATCTTATTCACTTCCCCTCCTAGTATACGTGCTACAGTAGCCGTATCTCTGTCTTTCTCTCAGCTATGAAATAGCTTTAAAGATTTAATCAAATAAAGTGTTAAGCAAAAGATAAAATGGGTAGTAAGAGGACACAACCTGTTTGTGGTAAGCTACAACTGTCCATTTCCTTCCCGTAGGGCTTTATAACACTACTATTTGCCTTTCTTTGATGACCTGTATTAAGGGTGTTGTGTAAAAAGAGGCTGTACTGCAGTGGTTGCTTTGAGAGGAATTCTGGTTAACGCAGCCTGAATTTGTCCTGGGGCTCCGACATCATGCATGCAGTTGTGGCAACTCCTCCACTCCTTTCAGTTCAGGTGGCTGGTGTAGAGGGATAGCGCCATAGCCCAGCCCTCTTGGAAAAGCTAGCACCAGCACTGGGATGATGCAGTGGCTTGACCTTCTCCAGAGGCACAATTATTGTTATTACCATAGTACCTAGGAGCCCTAGTCATAGACCAGACCCATCATCCTAGGTGTTGTACAAACACAGAACAAAGACTGTCCCTGCCCCAGAGCTTACAGTCTAACTTGGCATGAGTGGGCTCCTTTTGACCTCATACTACTCATCGAACCTGAAATTTGTCCCCTCATTTCAAGGGTGCTGGAACAATTTGTATAGTAGGGGTGCTGAAAGCCATTGAACCAAACTGTAAACTCTGTGTATGATGGAAACCACTTCAATTCAGGGAGTGCGGCAGGACCCCCAGCGCCACTAATTCCAGCAGCCATGCCTCATTTTGTTCTGTAAAGGAACAAAACTGTTAGATTATACTGTTGATTTTATGTATTGTGCATTTAAGACCAGATCTTTGGCTGGTGTAAAGGATTCACTTCAGTGGATTTACACATGCTGATTTACACGTGCTGATTAAGTTCCAGTTATCAGAGTGTTATCCCACATTCTCATAGTGGGAGGTGCTGATGGAATAAATGAATGCTTTTATGATTCGAATTGGAATGGCTGATCTTTATGGTGTGTTATGTGGTATTGTAGAGTTATGTAAGTGTATGTAGTAACTACAACTTTGTTGCAGGCTTGATCTTCAGCTAAAATTGGTTGCCCCATCTCTCTTACCCTGATTCTATTTCCTTTCTGGTTCCGCCTTCCATGCCCCTGCATACATCTTCCTAAATTCCTGTCCCTTGATATTTCTCCCCAGTCTTCTCCCAGTCTAACTATGGTACTAATTATTGATTGAACACTGACCACATAGTGGGGGATGTGGCTCTGAAACCTCACAGCCATATTCACTACACCTAGAACTGAGCAGCAGGTTGTGATGTTTTGCTCAGGCCACGCAGAACTGTGAGCCACTGTGTTACTGCTCTGCCTCACCAAGAAAGGGCTTTGCTGCTGCTAAGCTGTGTGTCAGCTCTGTGTGGCACACCAGTTCATCTGCCTTGCCAGCAAACTCTTCAGGCCTCTGCCAGTCTAATCCTTGCCCATGCTGGTAACAATCAGTGAACCCCAATCCCCCAAGTTCCCTCTCACTGGACACTCACAGAAGTTATTAATTTCACTGCCTCCAAAGAGACAGAGCACATGGCAACCTGTTAGGTTAGCTGAGGACTTACACTTCTCTTCAATATAACAGCACTGAGAAATGTTCTTGTAATAAAACAATAAGTTTTATTAACAAACAGAGGTTTAAATGATTTCAAATAAGAGTGAAAGAGAGATGAAAGGTTACAAAGACAACAAAATGTGCTGTCTAGTGACTAAAACTTATGTTAGCAAGTTACAATCTTTGTCTAAGCAAGTTTCTCATCTACAGTCAGTTCTCAGAGACTTCCACCACCTGGGTTGAAAGACCCACTTTTCTCAGTTTTCAAGGCCTCTTTTCTCCCTCAGGTGAGGATGCCAAAACGACTTTCTGTTTCTGCCTGTATTTCTCAAAGTCCATTGTCTGTTTCAAGAGCCAGGAAGGCTTCCTGGGGGTACAGCTTCCATCCCCCATCGTGGTTGTTAAGTGGTCATTTCCCCCATTTTCTAGTTTGATGGCTTTGTTTACCTTATATGTAAATATACTTTCATTGTTTCTGGCCTCGCCTTGCTCAATTTACATTGGAGACACAGTCAAGCAGGTGAAACAACATTCCTTTGTCTAGGACAGCTGGGATTATGCACTGCTTGCCAACCATATTTTAAGCACATATTTTCCAACACACATCTACTGTTCTTTATACACCACCATACACACCTCCCACAATAATACTATCCATTTGCATATAACACCTTACATGCTGCCTTTTAGATACAGATCATGACTACAGTGTGTTGAGGCAATGAGTGTGTCAGGTCTGATGTGAGTTAAGGTATAGTGTGCCCTCTGCAGGTTGGCATTGAGGGGCTTCCAAGGTCACACAGGTAGAGGAAGATTCTGAATGACATCCCCTGTCATGCTTGAATACAGTTTCACAGAGAATGGGAAGATCTGCCTGATGGCTCTCAAATGGATTTCATTATCCATCATCTTTAATATGTTATTCATTGTTTTTGGATTGGCCCTTAATGAGTTTCAAGAGTTTAAATCAGATTGGTTTATAAAATCCATGGGATAACAAGGTTATGTAAGGAACTCTGTATTCTTTTATTATTTTACAATGGCTTCACTGTATTACTCTTATCCCAAGAAATCCTGCAGAGCCATCACTGTCATTTGATGCTCATATCTGCTACATTGGTGACACATAAAGAGGTTCCTGGTGCATAGTGGCGTTGGCTGATGCTTTTGATCTATCATGATGCTTTCTCCTTTTGTTGTGTTATATTCAGCTGAGGCTCATCGTATGCAGAATACAACCAAGAATGATTAGTTTGTTTTGTCTTCCAATTGTAGTATGGTGTAAATAAATCTCCAGCTAAGGGGCAGGGAGAAAAACAGCTTAATGAGTGATGATGTTAAATGTATCCAGTATTAAAAACTAGGGCCAGACTCTACTTATGCACAATTTACACCAGTTGAGGGTCTGGCCTTCTTGTTATGCAAAAGTAATGAGCCAGGTTTCAGAGAAAGTGGCATTATAAAGAAATTTTGTTTATTATCTGCTCAGTGTGAAGACCTCCCTCTCTGTGCAAGATTGTTTCCCCTGAGTAAAAATTAAATGTTCTGCAACAAGGCAGCCAGTTAAATACCTGGGAAGGTGGCAAGAAGTATTTAGCTCTGCAGACACAAGAACCATGACTCCGTGTTGACTGAAGTTGGTCAGAAACCTTCATCACCTTTTATATTTCATCTATAAACAGTGCCTGAGACAATCTAAATAACAGGAACAGGTAATGAAGCAGCTTTCTTCACTTGCTTTCTCTGTCTTGTTTTTTCTATAGTTACATTGCAAACCAGCGGAAATTAGAAAGCATCAATAACAATGAAGTTGGACTTTATGTTGGACTGAAAAATCTGTGAGTATCTGACTTATTATTTTTGTTTAATATTAATAGTTGTAGTTTCTCTTACAATTGGATTTATAGGCCCCGGTCAATGAGCAGGGCCTAATTGCGCTGGGCGCAGTACAAATATGAATTAAAAAAAGACAGTCATTGCCCCAAAGAGGTTACAATTTTATTAATTACAAATGATCTAGGTTAATTGTAATCCCAAATCTTATTCTAACAATTATTATTATTTATTAATCAATTTTATTTTAACTGACCAACACTAACAATTTTAACATTATATGTTTTCACAGAACCGTGGTGGATTCAGGCTTAAAGTTTGTGTCCCGTCAGGCATTTCTGAAAAACACCAACCTGCAGTACATGTGAGTCAGAACAGCTCATGTCTTGTAAGACAGAACTGCCCAGAGCTGGTTACTTCCCTTCCCTTTCTTCTCTATATTCTCCTGGTATAAAGTGTTTTAAAAAGGGAAGTGTATAAGGATCTTTTGCTAATAACTTTGGCATGAAAGTGGAACTGTATTATAAGCAACTGGTGCAGGGGCAACCTGTTAATTTTGTTGTGCTGGATCATTTCCACTTTGGACTTGGCAAAGGATGTGTAGTCTGGAGTCCTCTGTGAAAACAACTCAGAAAAATGACCAGCTCAGTTTCTTCTGTTTTTGTTGGTTTGCTTACATGTCCCTGAAGAAGACAGTTGCCTCTCAGTTTGGGCTTGTCTATCCAGTGTGTTAGTCTGCACTAAAGGGGTGTAAATTCTAGTCCACACCAGCATGTCACGCACTAACTGGCCCATGGGGATCCTGCTGTGGTACACTAAAAGTTCCCTGGTGAACATTAATGTAATACTGTTTGGGACCATGTTAACACACACTAAGGGTTTTTTAGCACGTGCCAGCAGGGTCCACACGGACCAGTTAGTGTGCGATATGCTGGTGAGTAGAATTTACACCCCCCACCACTGCAGATCTATGCACAGTGTAGACAAGCCCTTTGAGAAGCATAGAGCTGAACTCACTCCTACTTCTCACATTTAGGATTGTGGTCCCAATTCCGCAAGGTGCTGAAATGAGCAGCGGGGGTTTAGCACATTACATGAACTCTAGTTCAGCAAAGCATTCAAGTAAGTGCTTAAGTCTATCACTATTCAGCAAAGCTCTTAAGCACCTTTTAACTTTAGGCATGTGTATGAGTGAATCAATGAGACTTAAACACAGGTATTAAGTTAAGCAGGTGCTTGATTGAGTGCTTTGTGTAATAGAGATGGGTTGCTGAATTGGGGCCAGGACTAGGTGCTGTTATACTACAATAAATTCCCTTTCTGCAATTTTGCTTTCCAAGAAAAATATGTCATAGGAGGATAAAATTAATAGTAATTTAATCAAAAACCTATGATATCTCAATTTACTGGTAGCAGTAGTAGGCTGTTACCCCTTATGTGTCCAAACTATGAGAGGGCGAATTAACACACGTTTTACAGGCATGTTAAATTATTTCATCTAGTCATTAATAAAGCAAATGTCTTTGACCAGAGCCATACCAATGCATAACCATAGAAATACCATATAAAGTAAGAGCTACTAGCTGGGCATATACTTGCTTTTCCCGTGACAACTGGTCATTACATTATGATTTCCTTCTGAGCAATGATACAAGAGGGATTAGTAATCTTGCCAAACATGTAAAAAGCCTGGGTAAGACTAGAAACGATTACTTAGTGCCACTTGGTATATTTACAATAGATGAGCCAAAGTGACAGAGCAATTACCATGAAGGTAGTTCTGCGTAGGCCTTTGGATTTATTATTTCTGTAGAAAAACTCATTTGTTTATTCTTTACATGATTTCTTAATGAGTTTAAAAAATCTTCCCAAAGAGCCTGTTGCTTCAATGTCTGGGACCATTGAAATCAGTGGCAATGCTCCTAGGATACTGGGAACAGGATGGACCCTGAGATGTGGTCTGGGCAATGAAAATTGTGAAAAACTGAAATCAGTCACATTTAATTAATAGTAATCTTCTTAGCAAAAGACTAAGAAAAATCTTACATTTCATTTTAAAGCAAAAGTTTATGTCTAGCCATTTGGAGTTTATGGGATTTTTTTTACATATAAATATTCTTATGAAGATTAATGTTAATTGTATGAACTTTAATTCTGCTAATAGAAATATTATGGCTGTAATCCTCTCACAGGAGAAATCTTTTAATGCAGTCACAAGGCTTCATTAAAAATAAACACTGTATTCTTACAAGATAAATAATAATAGCATATAATAATATCAGATGCTAATGAATCTACTAACACACAGCTATTTAAATGCTTTTTGGCATCAACTTAATTTCTGGGCCAAACCTCTGTAGCCAAAATGCCTTTCCACAACTGATGTATGATGATTAAGGTTCAGTAATAATGTAAACAAAAGAAAGTGAAATGCTCCAATAGATATCACTTAAATGTAATTAATAGCCTTGCTAGTTTAATTCTGGTATTCTCATTGACCTTAGACTCAAATTACTCAACAATCACCTTTAAAAGCTATTAAACAGTGCTGTTGTAGCAATGCTGTAATTTATAAACTCAGCAGCAGTAACAATTTTTTTTAATAGACCTGTTTAATGCACTTCCTTTATATTAATACCTTTAACTGTAGGAATAAAGGTCACAAGGAGTGAATATTTCCTAAAACATTAAAAAGCCATTGTCATGTACCAAGAATTTACATAATTGCATACATTTTATATATTCAAATCTACTTTGGTATTTTTAGTGTGCTATCACCGTGGTATCCGAGTGCAGTGGACTTGACGAGATTAAGAAAAGAGACCTACATTAGCTATATATCTAATCCTGACCTAACTACAGCCTTTTTCCTTTTCCCTGTTGTGTAAATACAGGCTAACACCTTTTATCTCGATATAACTGGTTGAGATTGGCCTCAGGCTCCTCGCTAGAGTCGACCTTGAACAGCTAAATCAAGGTTAACAGTATCTTGTATCTACAGTAGGAAACACTTGTGGTTAGGTTGGGATTAGCTAACACATGTTTAGTAACAGGGCCTGGGGAGTTGATCTGATTTTTTTTTTTAAATCATAGTGTAAATGTTTAGTACGAGGTTTTTTTTGTGTTTTTGTGATCAGATGAGAAACGGATCGGAAGTAGAGTGCATGAAGCAGGTTTAACACTCCTTTTTTCTCCCCTCCTTCATCTTCTCTTCACTTCTCAAGCTGTTGAGCACAGCTTGGCTGTAGCTCAGGATCTAGGCCCTTAACTCTAAGTTAACAAAGTCTTATGTGTGTATATACTTATTATTGTGGATGCTAACCATAATCATTCTTTACTATGATATTGAACTGAGGAGCTAACTTTTAATTACCCTCCCAGAAAAAAATAACTGCATCTTTACCAACCATCTAGTAACCCTGGTCTATGTCTATTCACTTACTGTGGATTGAAGGGCCCAAAGCAGAGATTTTAGTAATCAATATAAAGTGCTCAGTTTATGAAAAATATATATAACAATAAATGTATTGACATAATATAGTTCAAGATGATATATATAACATAGGACTCAAGAATTTCAATTGAATTACGTGTCAGTTTGAAAAATCTGAATGCCCTTAACTGCATAGAAGAAAAGACTAGTCATAAAGCCCTAAATGTGTCAGCCCATAACCAGGAATGCAGTTGAGCATTTTTGTTATTGTTTTCCATAAATACAGTGAGCCTCATTCTGATCTTATGTGCACTGGCATAAGTCAGAAGTAACTCCATTGGAGCTACTTGGCTGGTGTAAGCGAAAGGAGAGTCAGACCCATGGAGTTTCTTATCATTTTTCAAAATTGTGTTTCATAAAGGTGGGGTAATCACAGGTGCTCCTGTGAGTCCTGTGCAAAGTGACAGTTCGGTAAGGTAGCATGTTACACCGCCTTTTCACAGGTGTAAATGGCTATGTAAGGTGCAAGGCAGTGGAGGATGAGGCCCACTGATTTGAATGAGTAAGTACTATTCATATAGGCATGGCTTGCAGTACTGGGCCCTAAAGCACTGGGTCACCTAACCTCCAGCCTCTAACACAGAGTTTGTCTAGCTCATGGAAAGAAGTTAAGGTTAGGTCAGGGTTAGCGAACATGTGGTACCTAATTCTTACTTACCCACAACATCTTCCTGTTGTAGATGCAAGTTACACCTTTAACCTTGATTTATCTGGGCAAGGTCAAATCTAGGGAGGGCTAAGGCAGACCTTGATCAGTTCAATCAAGGTTAAAGGTGTAACTACATAAATCCCTGGTTTAAGTGCAAATTTAAATGCAACATTAACTATGGAGTCCCTCTCGTGCCTTCGTAATACCGTATAAAATGCATGTGGTATTTTGGCTCATAATACTAATTTGCACTGGGCTGTTGGCAGTGTTACAGTTTACTGCTGCTCTCTGTACCATTAACTAGTGCATTGCTAGAACCACAAGAAAAAGTAGCGCTTTTCTGATTTGTGGAGGAAAGGCGGGGAACATTTTTTTACAGGTTTGGGAGTGAGGCGTTTCTGATTAAGATAAACATTTCTCTGTCCTAAAAAACTTGGCGAGAACCTTTCAGTTAATTATATTTGGAAGCAGTAAATGCTTAATTGACATAAAACCCCCTAATGTTAGCATTTTACAATTTTCCTTTTGATCTCTCTCTTATTGCACACACGGTTTTGAAAAGAATAGCTAAAAGGCTTATGTTGAGGATGTGTGCTAGCATGTGGTTGGGGTTAGATGAGCGCAGAGTGCAGTGCAGACTCAAAGAAGGTATGGGAAACACCCATTTTGTTTATGGATAAATTGGCATGTAACCAACATCTGGACTTTACACAGGTCCTTTTGAAATGAAATCCACTGTTTTTTCTGCATGGCTAGAAGTGCTGAAAGATGAAAATTTTGTCCAGTGTTGAATTTGTTTATGAAGCTAGCCATCAAAACAAGGTACTTGTTGGATTAGGAATCTTCAAAGCCATATTGGGCTATCAGAAGAATTTAGATCCCTATCCATATCCTATTGAACTCAAAGGAAGGAAACCCACAGATTTTCTTGGGGGTTAGATTGGGCTCAATTTTCAAAACAACACTGTTTCTATAGTTTGGTTATGAAAACCAGAAATACTAATAAAATCTAATGTTCTGTTTTCAAACAGTAATTTCTCCAGAAACAAGCTCTCAAGTTTGTATAAGAAGACTTTCCGCCATCTGAATTTATCTGATCTGTAAGTAGTGAGGTTTTTTTTTAAATGAAGATTATTTGTGTGTTTGAAATAGAATAGCAGTCTGAGAGCTTTTAGGGCTTGATCCATTGAAGTCAATGGGTGCCATTGACTTTAGTGGGGCCAGAGTTTCATCCCATGTCTTTAGAAAAGATAAGTTGCCTTTGGATGATGACATTGTTTAAAAAAGGTATTAATTTAATGCAATACTGGAGCAAAACACCATGACATTTGCTTTCTCTCCAGTGCAACACAAATTAATTTGGATAAAACTTGCCTTTCCTTGTCAGCTTTAAAATGTTCTATTTTGAAATTGTTTCACATGAAACTATTGGTTTTTGGATTAAAGAAGGTGGAAACCTGAAGTACCCTCTCTCTGTAGGATAGTAAAAAATTAACCACTTGCAGATCTTCATGTTAAGTGTTTTCCTCATTTTCTTGTATTTTACTGGCCTTGCAGCAGTTGTGTGTTTGGCCATTCAACAATGTTTTTCCTTTCCTGAAAACAAAATTGTTCTGAACTGAAATAGATTTTACATTACAAATATTATATAACCATATGATTAACATACATTTTGCTTATTCTGGTTGGTCAAACTATGAATCTATATTCTAGGCTCTTTTAAGCAGGATGTATGTATATGTATTAACATATAACTTTCTCATATTGAATCATAAGTGAAAATAGGAAAAAAGAGCCGTACAATACTTCTGGTGTAGTAATTATTGGTATTCCTGTTTATAGGTTGCGTTAACCTACACACAGAAGAGGTTAAGTATTTGGGCCCTGGCGTTTAGGGTTTGCTCCACTCAGTGTTGCAACACCTAACTACTTAAGGAGCCTGTAGGCCAGGGAAATTGTCAGTCACAAGGTAGGCATCCAGACTCCCCATACAATGCATGGGGAGTGCTAGGTGCCTAAAGAAAGGACTTTCAGAAGCCAGTAAGCTGAACAGGTTGTTTTGAAATGGGAAGGTTTCTGATTTCTCAGAACTCAGTATAACATCAGGGCCCTGGAGATATAAAGTAGACAAGTCAGAAATATTAGCCAAGAAGAATGTGTTGTAATCTCAGACACCTTTTGGAGTATAGGAGAAATGAAGTGCACAAATCCCTGGCACCAAGAGGAGATTATGCCCCTTAGGTATGCTCTATTGATGATTAAGGTGGTGCAATCACTTTACAGTCCACAGAACTTCATTCACTGGAATTTTCTTCCATAATTTGGTAATCACTGAGCATTCAAATGGAAAGAATAGCTAGCTGCAAAATGCTTCCATTTGATCTGTTCTGTTAGGTATCTGTAATTTTTCCTAAAATCCCAAACTCTCCTTACATTCCTCTCTCTGCACGTGTCCACCCAAAAAAGGCACTTTTACCTGACATCTGGCAATAACTTTCATCTCTCTATTTGGTAGCTGATATCATCTCAGCAATAAAGATGATACTATTTAGATTGGTGCACAGTATCTTAATGCACAAAGCAAGCTGTTGAAACAAAAACGTATTATCTGGGGGTTCTGTTAGTGTTACTGAACAACTAGGAAAAGACATGGAGCCATTTTTGCCCCCTGGATTTCACAAGTGTAACTGATAGCCTGAATTGGCTCAGGGTGACTGTGAAAAAGTACTGATTTCAATTCTAAGCCCAAATTCTGCAGGCATTTATGTCAGTATATATCTGGAATTACTCCACTGTATTAAATTGAATAACTTCAGTTTACACATGAGCTATACTGACCACCTCTGGACCGCTCTGTTATCAGGTGACCAATTTCTTATAGGTGTCATGGTTGAACTGGGTTTTGAAAGGGATTTGAAGGTGCAAAAGGTAGTAATTTACAAGTTAGTTCAGTGAGATCACAGTGAATCATGTTGATCTTTTTGAAGATGTTAGTGTGATCCCTGTGCAAAGGAAGAAGAGGGCTCAAGATGTGGACTGTAGGAGGGAATTGAAGATTCTAAATAAGCAAGAGGGGTTGTGGGAATTCAGTTCAATGAAGGGTTGTGGGAATTCAATTCCATGCGGGTAGGAAAGTAGTGCTTATTGGCAAAGCGTCTGGCAGCAGTGGAATAGGAGAGAATATATTTGTAATGTAATCATGGGATTTATGCCATAGGCATTCAGCAGTTTGGGAGCAGGGACAGAGAAAATGGATGTTGAGAGTGAGCCACGGTTAGGAAAACTGGAAGAATACTACTTCCCTACCTCATAGCGCATTGCAAGGATAAATGATTAATGTTTGAGGTGGTTAGATACTACAGTGCTCAGGGTCCATATAAGAAGATAGAGAGACAGGATGTAGAGGTAAGACAGGTATTTGTAGAGGTGAGAAGGCATGTGGGAACAGGGTTGGTGGGGAGAGAGGAGGATATAAAGTTGGTAGTGGTAAAGTGGGGAGGACAGAATGGATGAAGGTGAGAGAGGAAAAGCAGGAAAGTGGAAGAGACAGTGAGCTAGGGAAGAGGTCGGGTGTGCTTGGTGGAAAAGCAGTTGGAAGACATGGTATCAATAGGACAGTAAAACTGTTGTACAGTTGATCAGACAATAGGGTGGCAAATAGATTAAAAAGTCCAGGAGATAATTGACATCGGTGAGGATCCCAAGAATGGAGGGAAAACAGAATATTGGAGGCGGGATCTGAAGGATAGAATGTTGCCCATAAATAGCTTGTGAGAAGCTTGCTTTAAATCTGACTTGTGGGTGTACTTTTGATAGAAGACACTTAAATCAAAGTGTAAGTGAATGAAATTTCAGGCCAGGGTGAGGTGGAAGATGTTCTCCAGACTCTGGGGAGAAGGGAAATGAGAAGCCGCTTTGAAAGGATTCTGCTTTAAAAACAAAATTGTAGCTGCAACTGCAGAATTACAGCAAATGAGATGAAAATGTTAATTGCTACTCACTGAGCCAGTAAGTGCATGGAAGGGACAATCATGCTTCTATTCCTCCCCTTTCTGCAGAATGTCACCATGGTGTGACTCCCATGGGAAGTTAAATCACATTTAAAACAATGGAAGAAAACGGTTGCTTGGTTATTATTAACCAAAGAGAGATTTTTAAAAAGTAATTCTTATTCACACAAGTAGTGCCATTGAAATCAACTGGATGACTTGTGCTAATATAAATTATCCACAAAAGGTGTTGCAGCTCAGGTAGACAGACCCACACTAGCTCTGCTTGAGCTAGTGTGCTAAAATAGCTGTGTTGATGGTTTTAGCATGGGTGGCAGCTTGGGCTAACCACCTGAGTACAAACCCACCCAGAACCCTAGGTGTGCACCCTGAGCTGACACCCCTGTTACCTCTGGCTACATTGCTATTTTTAGAATGCTAGCTCAAATAGCTAATGCATATCTATCTACCTGAGCTGGGAAGCATACTCCCAGCTACAGTGTAGTTGTACCTTTATGTGTGAAACTTGGGGAAACATGTTACTTTTCTGAGAAACTGACTCATGGGTTTGTCTTGATTTTCTACAAATTTGACATTTTAAATTGCTGCCTAATAATGAGAATGCAGCTTTTAATGCTAAAGGCAACAGATTTTGGGGGCAACTAGAATATAGCTTATGTGCATCATGGTCATTTGTGGAGTTTCATTACTCTTTTTATAATGAAATGTCTTTAGGGGTCACAAAGAAACGCTGACAAACGTATCAGTTGGAACTCACCTGTGCTTTTAGGAGAAAAGGTCAAATCCTGGACCATTTCTGAGTCAGGCATCTGGATTGTCTCCATTATACTTCACTCAGGCTTCATCACATTACATTGGGCTAAGGTTTTCATGAGTATTGAAATTAGAATCAGGTAGGTGGGCTAAACTCTGATTGAAGTTCCATATAGTGTGCTGTATAGCTGTGTGGTGTTTATACACTGGGTTACAGCCCTTTTTTTAGTTAGGTTCTGGTTGATATTAGTTAAAGCCTTTCACTGTGTCATCTTCCAGAGTCATACGGATGATTTCTTCTTAAAGGTGTGTGAAATTCTTGTTTACAACTAGAGTTGTTAAACTTTAATCATAATATGGGACTGAATGGGTCCATAAAGAGTCCACCACATACAGCGATGAAGTCTTTTCAGGAGTGTACTTTATAAATCAGTAGACCAAAATCCACTATGGAACAGATTCTGATCTCCATTTAACTGGTAAAAATCCAAAATGATTTCATTGAAGTGAATGGAGTAACTTCACGGGTGAAATTGAGATCAGAATCTAGGCCTGTGTGTGGTATCTCAGATCTGTGATAAGCACCATGGACCAGATCTTCAACTGGAGTAAATGGATTATAGATTAATACTTCAGTGGAGATGTACCTATTTATACTATTGAGGATCTGGCTCCATAATTTTATTAAGCAAAGTATTTTGCTTCTAGGCTGCACTTGGAGTGACATTTAAAAACAAACCAAAAACCTACACAGCAATGTTTCTAGACGTATGATGTCAACTGATTTTTTTTTAAATGATTTAATTTTTGCTATAGGATTCTAGTGGACAATCCGTTCAAGTGTTCCTGTGATGTTATGTGGATCAAGATATTTCAGGAGACCAAGTTTTCTAACACAGAAACTCAGGATTTTTACTGCATAAATGACAACAACAAGAGGATACCCCTTTCGGACATGCAGATCCCCAACTGCGGTAATATACTTTAAAGTAAAACAATTACGAAGTTAAGTTACTGCCAGGCAGGAAAAGCAAACATGCTTTCAGCTCTTGGCTTCAAGATGGTATATTTGCCACTGCATGAAATCTCAGGAGAAGGTTCCTCTGACTCTTTACACCTTGTGGATTAATATTGTGAGCTTTAGTTAGAATGTTTGTTTTTTTTTTAAATCTTTTAAAAATAAACTGTTGCTCAGAAATGCATCAGAATAAAATATCTAAATATAGAAATGGTATATATATTCATTAAATTGAAAAGAATGCTTTCAAGATGAACAGACCCAAAATGTTACCTACCTTAAAAATGTTATTTGTAGCTTTCACAGAATCCCTAGATTAATAGAATCTTTATTTTCCTTTAAAAATGACTGTTATTAGCAACACATTTTCAAAACTCAGGCTATAAATTGTGCCTGTTTAAAAAGAAAACACACAAGCAAATAATCCTGTATTTTTCCATGCAGATCTCAGTCACTGTGTGCAAACAGAGTGAGGGAAACCCTGCAGAGTCCACTTTGTATGGGTTACCTGAAGCAGACTTTGCAGGTTTCAGTTCGCAGCATTTGGCAAAATACCAATCTCCACTGGTTTGAGGAGAAATGGTATGATAATTCTCATCTCCTTGCTTCAGTTGCTTACTTCCACAGGGTCCTGGAACAATTGTCAGGTAGTTTCACTTCTTACTAGTTGGAAAAAGTATTCCTTAGCCTCAGATCTAGTGGCAGGGGGAGCAGTTGGGCTTGATTCCTCTCCTGAGCACAATTGTTTCTGACTCAAATTGCAGCTCACTAGCAGATAGTAAGTTTCATTTTGTTTTCCTTGATGGGCAGAGAGAGAGCAGAATGAAGCAAGCATGGAGGAAAAGAAAGAAGGAGGGCAGGGCAACACACAGTGGATAGATTTGGATGGGGAAAGAGGCAAAGAAGAGTGAATTGGAGGGGGGATGGGAAGAAGGTAGAAATAAGCTCTGCCTTTCTTCCTTCTGTAGTATCTGCCCTCTGCAGCTCTAACCTTTCTGTGAGTGCTTCACAACACCAGACTGCTCTTCTTCTCTGCACTTCCACTGGGCCTGAAACCCATAACCAGGGAGGAGAACAGGGTGGAAATCAGATGAATGCTCTGTTTCATATAGATGCTGTTGAGTACATGCTCCTATCATGGCTATGTGTGTCAAGCAGAGCAGAGAGCGCTGGTGATTGGAGAGCAAAGAGCATCCTGGTATTTAGTAGCTCTCCTATGTTGCCAGCAGTGTCAGTGGATGAAGAAGGGAAGAGATAGGCAAGAGTGCAGGGGAAAAGCAACATGGGATGCAAAATACAAATCTCTTTGAAGTACTGTGTAATCTCAGTCCAGCACTGATCAAATCTCTCTTCAGCAGCTGCTGAACTTGGCTGCTCTGCTTTGAGGGGCACTGAGGGAGAGCTGCTGCATCTTCCAGGTCTTTGGAAGGACTAAGGGTAGTAGGCGCAAGGCAGGGGTGTTGGCACGAAACACTGGAAGCCAAAACAGTCCCTGTTCTGCTGCAGCTGGTCAGAGCCAACATAGGGACCCCATAATCCTTAGCTAGAACCCCCCTGGTAACTAGAGATTCCCTTAACTCCACAGTTTTCTGAGTTCCCAGCACTAAGAATCATGGGACTTTTACTGAGTCATTGAGTGACTGCAGCAAGTTAGGGTGTGTTTCTCAGCCTGTGTGCCTTGTGTGTGGGAGGTGTGCCTCCTGCCACATAAGAGAGCTTTGCAAGATTGGGGGAGTCATTGGTTAATCTGGTGGCCCTTCCAAAGGCCACTGCAAATGGTCTACACTAGAGCAGGAGGAGGAGGAAAGGGAGTTGGAAATCCTGTGTGTGGAGGCTGTACATGAGAGGCCAGTGTTTTAGAGGAGGAGAAGGAATGGTTGTGTGAACAGCAACACAGGACCACAAATTGTTCAGGTGCCTGTTCTGATGTTCATATTTGTGCATGGAACTTAAACTTGATTATGGATAGACTTGTGTTTCTCTTTAACTCTTAGCTCAGCCCTAAGTGAACATTTGTACCGTAATATGGCATTACAGCTTACTCCCTTGGGTGACACTACACAAACAAATCCAGAACGTGATATAAATGCTAAGTCTGCCATCACCCAGGAATGTAGCAGACACACTTAAAGGAGACAAATCACAACATCCACGTGAGCACAACCTGCATTCTGAAACTCTTTCAAGAAATCATATATTGAGCTACTATTTTTAAGAGTATCTCTCTGATATTTATTTTACATTGCTTAGGTTTGTGTGGACTTAATTTTCAGAAAACCCACAGTTCCATAGACTGTAGCTGTGGCTCCCCCTTTGAAAATCAGAAACCATATCTTTAATCTTTAACCATATCTTTAATCCCTGCAGATATTTTTCTAAAGAAGTTAGTCTGTTTAATTTTCTAACAAAATGTAAGTTAACAGAGGCTAATTGTTATCTAACTATAGGAAGAATGAAACCTTTGGTTTGGGTGGAGTAGTAAATGTACATTGTTTACAGTTTTCTTCCTCTTCCTGTGAATTAACTACCCCCTACCCTTTCTTTTGACTTTGATAGGTTTTGTGGGTGCTCAGGCCTTTGTAAGCTATATTGTCACCTAACAGAGTAAAACCTTGCTAATTTGCCCTAATGACTACTACTACATTCATCACAGCAGATGGTTTAATTTTCTGAATCAGGAACTAAGCAAACAAATTTGATTTTAGATAAAAATCGAGGACACTGTCTGATAAAGTACTTTGTTAATTTAGTCTGGCAGGTGTCATTAATTATTGATGGTAATATTTAACAGTATACTAGTAAGCATTCTGTAATATAAGTTGTAAAAGTCTTGGTAATAGGGCACCTTGCTACTGCGTGCTGCTAATAAATGGATTCTTGGTTAGAATTCTCTGGTTTGCAGATCAGTGAAGTGAGAATTTGTGAGGTTCTGTGGCACTGTACTTGTTTATGTAGTTTAAATGTTCATTAATGGACTGGTTAAAGGCTAGTTGCAATTTAATTTTAGCTTTACAGTTGAACTTCCATAATCCACATTTATGGTGAAAGCCGATAAGAACTACTGACAATGAAGTCCTTTTTCTGACCTCTGATCAAAATATCAAATTTGGGATATTTTTCTGTATTCAGTGTTGAAATGAACAAATTTAAAACTGTCCAGTGAGTCACCTGTTACCAGTGTTTGCATTGTATAGGTAGTAAAGAAATAATTTTCTTTCACTCGCATTTAATGCCTCTGTTTCTGCCACTGTTCTTAGACTCTCAACATTGGTCATACAAGGCAGAACAATCTACCTAATCAAAGATCCTATATTGCACATAGCAGTGTGTTCGATCCATGTATTTATTTTGATTATCCTTCCAGTTTTGCATATTTACTATATCATGCCACTTCACTGCAAGTTATTTTTTCCTTGCAACTGGTTGTGTATCCTAGTCAGAGTTTCTTGGCCAGATTTTCAGAGAGCAAAAGCCTAATTTATGTGTTGTAGATGTGCCAGATATGGCAATTTCCTGCAATGACCTTGAAAGACTTATGGTATTGAGTTTATGTAATATTGTGGACCTGGATTGTATGTAACTACTTTGTGGGGTATATGGGACAAACATTGCAACCCTTTGGGATCATTATTTTAAATGAATGGTTTATCTATGATTGTGTTCTTCTGCATGGGGGAGGGCTACCCCAACTCCTACAGGAACTGAAACGAGTGGGTGGTGATTAAGGAAAATCAACCAGGTTGTAACCCCCCCAGAGAGGTACTACCTCCTGGCGAGGTTCACTTATACTAGTTCAAAGTAGATTCTCTAGAGACCAACAGACAAAGGAAGGATTCTTGGATAAATATCCTGAGTTAAAACTGGCTCAAAGCCATCTTTTTAATCCAGCAAATGGATAGGACCTGCTGTCCTTTCTGGGAGGGGTTGGAAGGATTGACACCTGCCAGAGCCTGAGGTTGGAGCTGGGGTGACCTCTCGTAAGCTTTTTAGCATGAATGTAAGTTCTTTTATTGTTTCAGTATGTTTCCTCTGTTATGCTTTCACCTTAAGAATAAATATGCTTGCTTATAAAGAGCTGTATGGCATAACTGCTGGCAATTTATCTGTTTGCAGCCTTTGAAGAGAAAGCAAAGCACAGATGCTGACCTGTTTAGGCAGTCTGGCTTGCTGGGATATCACAGTGTAAGGAGGATCCTGTGCAGCCTAGAAAATCCCCAGTCAGGAGTGGGAGAGATGCAGATCTCTACCCAAGTGAGGTGAGGTGACAGCTGGGGAGCTGGGAGCCTAGAGTGGGTGCCCTTGAGGAACCATAAAAGGGGAATACAGGTGCCATTGCCCTGAACTGTGATAGTAGGTATCACAATTTGTGTATGGATACAACCTGTCAGTTGAGGGCAGCTTATCTAACTAAGAACTGCAGGATTGGGCCCAAAACTTGTCTTAACAGGACTTTTCTTTTCATATGGAGAAGGGGCTGACTCTTTTCTCTTGTACTTAGTATTGTAAATCTTCCAGCAGAGATTTGGCTTTGCTCTTGTTAACTTGCATTATGTAATTGACAGAATTTTAGAAGGTGCTGCTCCTTGTTTGCAATCTAAGAGCCAGTTTGCTCATTTCTTGCTGTGTCCAGAAAGCCCTTTTCCAGTAATTTGTATAGGCGAGTGTTAAGGTAGTTCTAAATAAATTAGACTCACGCAGGCTTTACTCCAGACTGTGGAAATGGCCATTGTGATGGATTTCTATTCTGGAGTTAAATAAATATGAGAAATACCAAGCTAGAGAGTTTTGTTAGGAACAGAGTGGGAGACATTATGGATTTTAGATGTTAGGGAGAAAATGAAACCAGATTGAAAGATTGGCATGATTATTTGTTTAAATAATAGAAAAGATGTAATAATATTAGTGAATCAATAAAATAAGCATTGGCTCTTAGGCTGTCAACACACAGCATAATTCAAAACAGCAAGAAAAGGCATAATCCAATGAGTGTTGAAATCTTTTCCATTATCAGTCAAACTTCACAGATAAGGCTGACAAAAGTAGAACATAACAAGCAAAACTAGTTGGCTTTTAAAAAAAGTCATAAACATTCTCTCTGTGTTACCTGTCAGAATATTCATTCACCCTATATTCTGTATTATTTACTTTGGCTCCTAGTAATAGCTATTATGCATGATGTATGCTGGCAAACTATTTTTATTCTCTTGGTACTAAGTTTTAGTTCTTATCTATGATCAAGATCTGCATGAATAATGGTTTGTTCGAGAGTTTTGACAGCAACAGGGTTTACACTGTAACTCAGAAGTTGAGTTACTGTTTTCTTATGCAATTGAACTTAATTAAAACATTTTTCATTATTAAGAGCTTTTTAAATGAAAATAAGTGAGTTGACTACCATGATTTATCTATGAAGCTTCTTTTCAGGAGGGAGGGAGAGAGTAGGAACCAGACTTTCCAAAGTGTATGTACCTAACTTGTGCACGTACTAACTCATGCATATGTGCAAATTTAGATTATTCTCATGCACAGACCTATATATCTGTGTAAATCAGGGGTTGTGTGTGAGCAAAATTAAACACACATTTTTGTACATGCACTATTGAAAATCCGCCCCTCACAATGTAAAAACAACATTGCATTTCATAATTGTGACTTTCTCTCTAAGTTACTTTGAAAGGGAAGTATTTTATAATAGCCAGAGAACAAAGAAATAGGAATATTTAGGGGAAGCAGGGAAGGTAGTGTGTTCTGCTGGGTAGAGCACTGGATTGGGACTTCAGAGACCTCCTCATTCAGCAACAGGACTGCTGGGTGATCTTTGACAAGTCACTTAAGCCTTGTGTATCAGTTTCCCCACCTGTACAATGGTGATAATGATACTTATAAACTTTGAGATGTACTGATGAAAAGT